CCAAAAATTTCAACAGGGCCTCTTGCCAAAGCTCTTGGCGTGACCGCTCGCCAAGTTCAACGCCGTTTCCACCTCCCTCGGCGTGATATCAGCCCACCGTCGTCGCTTCCGAATCGGCTACCAGCTTTCGGAGCCCCGGACGAGCCTGGGGCCGCCGATGACTGGTTCATCCCTACTTCTCCTCTGCGTCGGGGCTTCCGGGGAACGTTCTCAACTCGTTTGGCTTCGTGACGAACGGCATGGGAAAAGATTATCTGGGCCCGTACCCCTTTTGAGAACATTACGCGGTTCATCCCAGTTCTTTCTACATCCAGGAAATTCTCTACTTTGCCCAGATTGCCCTCCTGAAGACGTCCATCCTGTTCTTTTACATGCGCATCTTCGGCCATACCGACATCAGGAAGTTTATATGGGGCACCATGATCTTCAATGCCGCTTTCGGCGTTGTCTTTATTTTCATCGCCATCTTCCAGTGCAAGCCCATCAGCTATTTCTGGACCTCGTGGGACGGAGAGTACCAGGGCCATTGCCTCGACATCAACGCCATCGCCTGGGCCAATGCCGGCATCAGCATCGTCCTCGACTTCTGGATGCTCACACTGCCCCTGTCCCAGATCAGGACCCTGAAGCTGCACTGGAAGAAGAAAATTGGCGTCACCCTCATGTTCTGCGTCGGCACCTTGTGAGTCTCCCACCTGAAGCCCTCCGAAGCCAGGATTCCTAACGATCCTTTCTCCAAAGCGTCACCGTCGTCAGCATCCTCCGTCTGCAGACCCTCGTCGCCTTTGCCAAAACGCACAACCCGACGTGGGATCAGTTCGGTGTCGCGAGCTGGTCCACGATTGAGATCAATGTCGGCATCATCTGCGCATGCATGCCGGCCCTGCGCCTCATCCTCGTCCGCTTCTTCCCCCGCATCCTCGGCAGCACCCGCCAGGGCACCTCCGACATGGCGCGCTACTACGTCAAGTCTGCCAGCAACACGGGCAACCAAAGCAGCCGCAGACACTTCGGCACAGAGTCGCACGCTAGGAGCAGCAACCGGGATCGGGGGGACGCCGAGTCGGCGTCATCCGACGGAGCGGAAGGCGTGTCAAAAGGCATCATGTTCACCAAGAGTTTCAACGTCGACTTCCACGACGAGACGCGGCTTGTGCCGATGAAGTCTTTGGACAGCCCTCCTCCTCCTCCTCCAGATCCGACGCAGTCCAAGCCACAGGGCCCGAAGGACAATTGGTAGTGGAGCTATAGATTTCTGACGAAGCATACGAAACAATTTAATAGTAATTTTCCAGGACTGCTACAGCAAGAGGCAAAACCACTCGTGAATGTGAATATTATCAAAAACGAGAAGAGAGCTTCCAGATCATGATGAGTGGCGCCAACTCTTCGGGCCAACGGAATTCTGCGCACGCAGAGGCGTCTTCCTGAGGACATTACTCGGAGTTCAAACTTGACCGCTTGGCTTCGCTTTTCGCTTCAGGTGGTCAACCCATACACCTGGCAGAGCTTCGATGACCATGTCCCGTGTCCTAAGCACCTCCTTCAGATCATCCATGATACCCGCAGACGTGGAAGGGCAGTAATTGGGGAAGAAGCTTCCGGCCAGATCCCGAGACTTCAAGGAATATGCAAGTCTACCGCCGGCTGAATGATATATTGCAGTTCATCTGTCCAGGGTTTCCCCTCCCAGATGCTGAATGCACCAGCAGCAGCGCCTTGTTTGAAAGATGTATGTTGACTTCCAGGATCTACTCTTCCAGCTGCTGTGTTCAATGCGACCAGACGATCGTCATAGCCTGACAACGTCGTTCTCAAGCTGGTGACTGATACAAATGGTTCGTCTCGCCTTCTTGCTTTGTGATTGATAGAAATACACGCCATGACCGTGTATCTGAGGCCATCAAACACGTTAGCAGGCTTGACAACGTCATGGCAACGGTCGTCACTCAATACAGGTACCGGGTGTGAGCTATGCCGGTGCCAAACACTTCAAACCCGGCTGCCATGTCAATCCTGATACGTGCAGGCTACACAGCACCGCTGATAAAGCCCACAATGGCGGCATAAGGCTCATTTCCAGGCCCTGGCATCTCGATTGAGTCAAGCTCGTGACTCGGGCTGCGAGCGCTAGCCATGCGTCAGCGTCTGGAGACCCTTAATGGCCCCAGTATAGCCTGTCGAGCTTCCCGAAATGGGCGTCGTCTTTTACCCGGCCTCCTCACCCAGGCAGTCGCGTCTCCCAAGTTTGGGTCGCGCACTCTATGTATACATCACGAGAAGCATCATAAAGTGGCCTACAACTAATAGGGCCACGGACCAGCCCTCCGCAACGCGCCCAATGTGCCACCGCTCGCCCGTCGCTGCAACCCCCGGGTCGTCCAGCACTTGGCAGCTGGGGTACAGCGTCGCATCGCACCTCGGGCATTTCGATTTTTCAGCCTCTCGTGCGCCACTCTTTCATTTTCAAGTCCCGAGTGCCGTTGAAATAGCCGGGTAGAAGCCCATGTGCGTGTGTCTTTGTCGGGCCTGGTGACTGAGGCTCTGAGCTGTCCGTGACAGGGGGCTCTCTTTTGGGTGCTTCCCATCTACCCAAGACAGGATGCGGGGTTTTAGGCTATTTGCCGATGCCCACATCCCCCTGCGCCGTGATTGTTTGTAGGATATTCGTCGCCTCTTGGCCCATGAGCATCATGCATTCCGTGGACGCATCTCAACATCCAGCTTCGGCGCCGCCTTGCCATCGCTAACCGGGTGATTCGTACCACAGATATGTACGCACCCGTTCGTTCGTTTTTTGAAGGCCTAGATCACGGAGCGATTGTGGCCTCGCCTCAATCGAGACATGGAGCCCGACGGAGCAAGTTCCGGGGAAATCACAGGGGCATCGCAGGGGTTTGCTCCCAACATTGGCAGCTGCCCCGAGCGCCATGAACATGGTTGTCCCGGGCTTCCGGGCAACGGAGATAGAAAGGGGGCAAGAATATAAAGAGAAAATAAAATCTTCGCGACGTTACCCTTCTCGTCGACACCGATCGACATCTTTCAACTCTCTCTTTCATCACTGTCGATTTTGTCGCCATGGTTTGCTTCTCTTCCCTCTTCGTCGCTGCGTCGGCCATTGCCGGCGTGTTCGCGAGCCCCGTCGACCACGAGCAGCTCGCCAAGCGCCAGAGCACGCCCAGCAGCCAGGGCACGCATGACGGATACTTTTACTCGTGGTGGACCGATGGCGGCGCCGCCGCGACCTACACGAACCTCGCCGGCGGCGAGTACAGCGTGAGCTGGAGCAACGGCGGCAACCTCGTCGGCGGCAAGGGCTGGAACCCCGGTGGTCCTCGGTATGTTGGGTCTGTCGTGAGACGAGGCACGTGAAACTAACGCGTCGCAGCACCATTACCTACTCTGGCACCTACAACCCCAAGTACGTTCGAGCTGTGATCACTTTGATGTATGAAGAGCCTAGGGGCGCTAACGCGACGAAGCGGCAACTCGTACCTCGCCGTGTATGGATGGACTCGCAACCCTCGTAAGTGCCGTCTGACCGATGACGAAGTTTTCCGGGCCATGGCTAACTCCTCTAGTGGTCGAGGTAAGCCGCCGATTCTGGCGTGGTCTAGCGTTCATGCCCGTGACATTCTGTTAATCCCTTCTCGCTCGGCAGTACTACGTCGTTGAGAACTTTGGTGAGCCATGGCCCGCCCGTTTCGATGAGAGAGGGGGGTGAGAGACTGACCGGGGGACACAGGCACCTACAACCCCTCGTCCGGCGCCACCGCCCGTGGCCAGGTCACGCACGACGGCGCCCTCTACCGCCTCTTCGAGAGCACGCGCACCAACCAGCCCTCGATCGACGGCACCGCCACCTTTCCAGCAGTACTGGGCCGTTCCGCGACGTCAAGCGCACCGGCGGCACCGTCAACATGGCCACCTTCTTCAACGCCTGGACCTCGGCCGGCATGCGCCTCGGCACCCACAACTAACCAGGTCGGTCGCCACCGAGGGCTTACTTTCAGCAGCGGCTCGGCGCGCATTAAACGTGGCCGGGCGGGGGCGGGGGCTTCAAGCACTCCCTGCTCTCGTGCGCACAGACCCGCCACGACCCCGAGGCCCTCGCGCAACACGCCTCCTTCCTTCGGCGGCGGCAGGCGTGAGTTGAGCCCGTCCCCCCCCCCCTTCCCCCCCCCCCCGTGCAAGCGTGCCATGAGATGAGAAAGATGTGCTGACGAAAAGGTGTATGCAGTGCGCCGCTCGTTGGGGCCAGTGCGGCGGCTCAGGCTGGAACGGTGCTAAGTGCTGCTCTGCCGGCACCTGCCAGGCCCAGAACCAGTGGTACTCCCAGTGCCTGTGAGGTATTCTGAGACGATGGCGAGAGTGAATCCATGGATTTCGGGGTCTGTAGGGGCGAGCACATCTAGTGAAGCTCGGCATCGTGCTCGTCGACAAGGGCTGGGGAGTGGACTTCGATTCTCTGTATGTATGAAAGATGACACCGGCGCTTGCCGGTGTCTCGTGCTGCACATAAGATTGACAACATCAAAATGGATCATCAGCTGTGCTGAATCTCATGCACCTCCCTGGCTTCACCTTGTGATGTGTGTCAGAATTGGGCATCAACGATGGGGTGATGTCCTGGCACACATACCTGATCACGCATCGGGTTATGGTCCGAAAAGATGCTCGATGGTTTGTCAGGGCCACCACTCAGTCGCGACCAAATAGTTGTGCTCCCGAAAATCATGTGCAGCAGTCCGACTCTTATTCGGACAGCGAATCATTCAGTGCCGCCATGCGAAGGGCACCATGTCGAACTAGGTTGGGTCCAAGCAGCGTGTAGCATGCCCAGCGAGCCTAGGAGAGAGGGTGTGTATAATAGGAACGAAAACAGCATGAGAGCAATCGAGTCAATGGCAGTCCTACAGGCCCTACTAGCCTGCAGATCAGCTGAATGACAGTAACGCACGCGAAGGCGTTCCCTTCAATGATGGATGATCTTCATTCTTCTCAGAGGCGTCACGGGCATGCATTCCTTTTTAGCCCCTCCAAACATCCCGCGTACTTGATTGAACACCTTGGGGAAATGACGAGATAGGGATCAGCGTCACAAATGAGCCTGTTCAATTGGCAATGTCTCGCCCGGGGCTGCCTTTATGAAAAATCCCCAGTTTCCCTCCCCTCGACTCATTCCTCAAGATGCACCTCCTGGTCCACCCCACCACACGACGAATTCCCATCACGTCCCCCTTGCGAATACATGTCTACAGACACTGCGAATACCACTGGTTCTGAGCCTGGCACGTGTACGGCGAAGCGCAGACGGTGCACCCCGTCCACCCCTGCCCGCCGCACTGCCCCCACCTCGCCGCCGAGCAACCCCCAGGCGGCGCGGCCGTCGTCGTAGCAGGCGGCGGCACAGCGACGTTCGTGGTCGTCGTGGCAGGCGGCCGGACGGTGGTTGTCAGCGGCGGCGGGCTGGTGCCGCCCTGGCCAATGCCGAACCAGCGCATGTCCTCGGCGCCCTGGATGGGCACGCTGTGGCTGACGGAAGCGCCCCAGAGGCCCTGGAGCCTGTCGCCGTAGATCTCGCGCACAAACTGGCTGCTGGGGCCGGGGCCGACGGATACGGGGGTGCCGGGGTAGCCAAAGACGGCGCTCCACTGCTTGATCGCCTCGTTGTAGTTGCGCGGTTAGAGGGTCGTGTCGAGGGCGCCGTGGTAGATTTTGCATCTTGGGGCGCGGGGCCCGTGTAGCCGGGCCGCATGTTGCGGGGCCGTCTGCGCCCACAATTCGGCGGAGAAGACGGCATTGCCCTGCGAGCAGGTCGAGTTCCAGCCGTTGACGGTGCCGGTGTAGAAGCAGCCGGCGGGCACGCCGGCGTAGGCGATGCCGGCGGCGAACATGTCCGGGTACGTGGCGGCGAGGACGTTCTGGAGAGGTCAGTTTTACCAGATCCGCTTGTCGTAGAGGGTCAACGTACGGTCATCATGGCGCCGGAGGAGGTGCCGGTCACGAACACGCGGGCGGCGTCGCCGTTGTGCTGGCTCAGCGTCCAGCGAACCATGTTGGCAATGGCGTTGCTGTTGCCGCCGCCTTCATACGTCAGCGACGCCGGCGACGAGACGTCCCAGCAGGTTCCGCTGTAGGGGCTCTCGGGGTAAATGACAATGAAGCCGTGCTGGTCGGCAAGCTGGCGGTACGGCGTGCCGCTGAAGTACGCTTGCGCAGTACCCGAGCAGTAGTGGACGGCGACGACAATGGGAGGCGTGGCGACGACATTGTCAGGCACGTAGATGTACATTTTGGCATTCGACGGGTTCGCGCCAAAGTTGGTGATCTGCTGGAGCGACGCAGCCTGCGCCGTGGCGCAGAGGGCCAGGAGGCCGGAGCCCAGGGTGCTGAGGAAACGCATGGCGACAATACACTCACAAAGAGGGAGCAAAGTTCTGGGAGATAACAATACATTAGATTATGGTTAGTCCACCGACAACATTATATACACGGTCAATGTCATGGACGGTAGGGAGGTTGCGGAGAACCTGCGGACTGTGGTATTCCGGGTTCCTGTTGCGTTTCTGTGGGCATCAGGGTCGAAGCCCCTCACGCCTGGCATATAGATTGAGACATGGGTGCAGATGGAGATGGCTGAACGGCTAGGCAGCGCGGAAGGGTCTACACCACGGTGCATCCGCCTGCAGTGCCGTCAATACATTCTGACGCCAAAAAAAAAACCCTGCGGTGAGCCAAAGCTGATATCAAGTGCTTCGTCGTGCACTGGTACCGAGCCGCGCTTGCTGCTGTAGCTGTGGTATGACTGCCGGACGCTGCTGGAAGAGAGCTTCCCGCCCGTTGGTGGAGCCGCTGGGCACTAATGCGACGTAGAATCCGGGGGTTTGCAGGTCCCTCAGAGGCTAGGCCATATCGGTGCCGCGCGGAGTCGAAGGCCGGCAATGCCGTATTTTGCCAGACAGAGGACAAGGCGACGCCTCTGCAGGCTCCTCACTGCTGCGAATGTGTTCATCGGGCGAGCGGAAAACACGTCGGGGCCCGTTTGCGCGCGCGTCGATAATACAACAGAATCAGCAACGTCCGTGGTGGCCACTTTGAGTCGTCGCCGACCGTTCCGCCATAGACAAGGTCGCAGGGTGTTGCGACCACACAGTGGATAGTTTTCAGCTCATTCAGGCTGAATGGTTGATGGATGAGGGGAGTAGTGGAGATGGATGCGTCGTGAAGAAGGGGAGAATAATGTGAATAGTAATGTGTGCCCCCAAACGCCGTGCGCGCCCAGTGTATGCATCAGAGTCATCGAAATTCAAAGTGTGAACAGAGTGTGAAACAAATAGAGTGTGGGCCCTGCTTGCTACTTGTCGCTGTCGGCAGGGCGGCGATCGGTGCGGCTTCGCAACGTCTTGAGGCCAGTCTGGTGCTCTTTGTGGTCCTTGCTCAGCCTCTTCTGACGAACGAGCAGGCTTGTGGCGAGACCAAAGGCGGCAAAGGCAACATAGACGATGAACATGGTCCGCATGCTCGTGAGGAAAGCACCTCGAGCGATGCGGCCCTCGTCACCCTTGAGATCACCGACAAGGCCCACGTTGGAGGCAGCATTGTGACCGGACAGCTGATCGGCCAGGCTGGGGCCGAGCTCTTCCACGAGGCGCGGGCGCTGCGAGTCCATCTCATTGGCGAAAACGACGCCTCCGATGACGACGGAGATGGAGGTGGCGATCTGGCGGACAAAACTAAAGGTAGCGGTCGCAGACGCAATGTCGCGAGGCTCGGCGTTTGTCTGAATGGCGATGAGCGGAGCCTGAAAGTTGGGACCAATGCCAATGCCGGCAACAATTTGATAGAGGATAATCTTGGTGTAGTTTGGCGTGCCAGGCAGGTCATAGAAGAGACCAAAACCCAAGGTCATGATGGCCAGTCCGCCGGTGATGAGGTAGACATAGTTGCCCGTCTTTCGAATGAGCCAACCGGCTATGGCGGAAGAGATGGATAGGGACACGGCATATGGAAGAAGGTACACGCCAGACAAGAGCGAGGACACGCCGAGAACACCCTGGTAGTACAGTGGGAGCCAATAACTGCCGGAGATGAAGACAAATGCGTGGCAGAATGTCAGGACGAAGCAGGCAACGGTCGAGAGGTCGCGGAACAGGTGCAAGGGGATGACGGGGTAACGAGCAAACTTGAGCTCGTTGAAGATGAACAGGCCAATGGTTACGACGCCAAACACGAGCAGGCAAATGACGGTGGCCGAACCCCACGGGAAATTGACGCCGCCAAATTCAAGGCCAAACAAGACCATCAGCGTGCCGCCGATGATGGTGAGACAGCCAACCCAGTCAATGGCCTGCAGGCCCTTTCCGAGCGGCGTTCGAGGGTTATGGAGCTTGAGCACGAAGAACAAGGCCACGGCGCCGACGCCGGAGATGGGCAGATTGATGTAAAAGCACCATCGCCATGTGACTTGACTCGTAAAGACACCACCCAGCACAGGACCGACTGCCGAAGCGACGGCCCAGACCATGCCCATGATGCCAAAGTAGACGCCGCGCTGGCGCAGGGAGAAGAGGTCGCTGATGCAGATATTGACGAGTACGATGATGCCTCCGCCGCCGATGCCTTGGATGGCACGGGCACCGATGAGCATGCCCATGTTCACAGAGACACCGCATAGCAGGCTGCCCACCCAGAAGACGGCAATGGCAGTCAGGAGGATGCTTTTCCGGCCGAAAATGTCAGAGACCTTGCCCCAAATGGGTACACAGGCAGCGTTGGCCAGGGTGTAGGCAGAGCCGATCCAGACAAAACCGGCCGACGATCGAAATTCTTGGGCAATCGTCGGGACGGCAGTCGTGATGATAGTAATGTCGAGAGCAGACAGGAACAGAGCCGCGCAGAGGGAGCCGATAATGACGGTGGTCTGCAGTTTGGTGCGACCGGCTTCTGGTTCGTCGCTAGGGGCGCTGGCCTCAGCTTCGGCCGACTGAGACAAGGCAGTGTCTGGGTTGGCCGTCTTGCCCTCGTGGTCGGCGGTCGATCTGCCATCCGTGTCGCCAGATGCTGGTGCTGGTGCATGGACGGTAGCTGAGTCATCGGTACTCGAGGTTGCATCGCGCTCTATATCGTATGACGGCTTCTCGTCCCTGTCCGAACGGGATTTGTGGTCCGCCATTGCCGAGAACTCTGCCAGGCGACGGAGCAGAGCAATGGTGCTGTGTCAATCTGAGGCAGAAGATGACTGTCGTCCCGATGGTGAGCGCCCGGCGAGCTATTCCACCCTTTGCGTCGTAATGTGTTCCTGGAAGCCAGCTGTTTGCCTTTGAGGGTTCGCTACGAGATGGGAGTCGCAGGCGTCGTCGGCAGCAAGTCGTCGTCTGCGTGTCGGTCCGTGTCGGGTTTCCAAATCGACATTCAACTGATTGGACTATGACGATGTTTTCGGTCAGGCGCACTGGCTCAGGCTCAAGTTGAGGACGGGTCGTTGCAGACAAAAGCGCAAAGAGAAATGGTCCGCAGAGACGCACGAAGAGAAATCCCCGAGCGAAAGAAAAAGATGCTGATTCGGGGCGTCACAGGGTTCTGATTCCTAAGCTCATCAAAGCCGCATGGGTGATCCAGTCATCGTGTCGGCGTGGTGCGCGGGTTGGTGGGGTGCAGCAACGCTAGGACTCTCCTCCCCTAGCGATTCGTGTAATGCCATGCTTGGGGCCTTCCATCTTGGGAAACACAACGTCCATCAAGTGGTTCGTCGTATTGGTGTCGAATGTCGGTGATGCGGTGGCCGAGGCGTACAAGTCCATCGTGAGTCAGAACCATGAGATCGCATCGCCAAAGCATCCTCCACGACGATACTGGGGCGTTGACGATAATGTCCCCGAGGGAAGAAGGAGCTCCCCCAACTGCATGCTCTCAGGCTAGGTGCGTCCGACTTTGCACTGCACCCGCCTTCCTTTCCCCATTGCCATTGCCCCTGCCCCTGTCCTGCCCCCTGCCATTGCCCAAGCTCCCCCCACCCTGTCTGTCCGATAAAGTGGTGACGTCGGCCCGCATTTGTGCCGCTTTGCCGTCAATCCATGTGGACTAGGCCCCGAACAGCGCGAGTCACCAGAAGGCGCACACACCATGTGCCGGCTCTCCGTGATGAGTCAGACCGACAAGGCCGGGGCCGTCCGGTTCGGCGTTCGAGGCCGAAGACCCAGTGTGGCCTCCGATGGGCCTCCAAAATGTTTGGTGGGCATCGCGTCTCCGTGTGTCGCCGGGACGGCCATGATCGGGCTGACAAGCCCTACCGAAGACGGCGTGGGTCGTCGCATCGCGCGGAGGCAAGACTGTCTGTCACGTCATCCTGGTTTCCATGACCAGCATCGTCAAGTCCATATTCCGTAGAACTGGCAAGCAGGAGGCGTTTCCTTTGGCTCGTGCTCCCTGTTTGAGACCATGGTGGTCATTCTTATTTTATCTTCTTATTTTCTTCTTTTCTTGTTTGTTTATTTCCATGGAGACCTTGCGTAATGCCTGGCCTGACTTTGTTTATACTGCTCGTCTATTGAATTCCGTCCATGTGGGACAATTTACCCATCCAGCTTATTGTACTTCTGTTCTTCGGAATCAAATGAAGAGAAGACAAGACGGTAGAAAACACGATGTCGAATACCTTTGGGCTGCGAACATTCTAGCTGCGAGCAAGTTCGAGCTCGGAACGATCTCCATCGCCTGGTCCCATCCCACGCTGCTACTGCAGATCGTGGATCGCGACATGTCGTCGACAATGTTGAGGCCAGCCCAAGTGTTCGGTCGCACCACGGCATATTTCTTTCACAAGACCCTTGGAGATGCTGCAAACAATACGCGCTCCCCTAGAAACAGGGTTTTGTTGAGCCCTCGTTCGCAGTATCGCCAGTCGGCCAGTACACAACCATGCCTAGATTAGATCACAGAATGACGATAGAGGCTGTCACGGCGGTGAACACTGCTCTCCACACCAGGCTGGCATATTCCGTCCCAAGCCCGCCTTCGTATCATCGCGATATTTACGAGCACGAGTTTTGTGTTCGAACATCAACGAAAATGACGAAATCCAAAGTTCCGACACCTCCGCCTCGTTGTTTCACACTGTCACACGCTTGTCAAGCTTTACCTGTCGAAACAGCCAGTCATAATGCACCGTCTAACATAGGACACGTTATTTTATCCACGCAAGGTACAGACCGAACCCCCGCGAGGCACCTGGCTAAAATCCATCCGTCGGGAGCTATGGCCTCGTCGTCCATGCTTTCAGCTCTGTCCAACTCGATCCGACATGCCATTGGTCGGACTGGTCTCGGCGTTTTTGAGCCTCAACGCTTCCTCATATCAGCTACCACGGGAGCAGTACCAGCAACCCGTAACTCTGCGTCTACAGAGTTAGAATGGCAACTACGCTGTCTAGTCTATGCGCCGTTGTTCCCTGGGGAGTCGCGACAAGGCTCCGGCCAGCCGCACCCGTGCCGACATGACGTTGACCGGACGTCGTCCCGCAATGCACCATCAGGTGCACAGGGGCATTCTCGAGCCATCCAAGGCGCGGGATATTGATTCCCGTGGGGGCTGCTAGCGTCTCGTGCTGCTCCCAGTAATTGACACCATTGTGAGCAATGTTAAGGTTCTGTCAGTCCGGGGAAGCTCCGTCCTAGCGAGGACTTATCCACAGCTCCTCAACATTCCATCCTGGACGGCCCATTACCATGGTGACTTCATCATTCGGCGCCAGACTTCATCACACAGATAGAGTCAGACCGTGATGGTGCAAAATTTGCCAGGGTCGGACGGGGTCGACTGACAATGTTGACAAGGAGCACGTTGAGTCGACAGACCTCTGGCCTTAGAACTGACAACCCCTCTGGTAGCATACAGCCTTAGGTTCTTGCACATTTCCATCCAACTGTGTTCAGGAACGCCGTGATCATCACCTCGCAGTGCCAATACAGTCCAGCTCGCGCCATCACGGGTCACCGGCGTCGTGTCGCCAGGCATGAAGGGAGCGCTCCCTGACCTGGCAGGCGCCGTCTCAACCGCAGAGAGGCCCGCGTCAGCAATGTGTCTCACTATCTTTATTTTAGGTCCCATCACATCCCACCCCGCCAAAAATTCGATCTGCCGGAAATGTCTCTCCATCGACTGCCGCCCGCTGAGACATATCACACCCTACCGCAGGATCGACGATGTTGAATTCTTCGCGATCTTGGAATGCGTCCTTCGGCGCGACGCAGCTTCGAGTGCTGCCCTGCCCTGGTGGTGAGGGAACATGGCGACTCGCAACGCGTGCTTGCTGCCACCTGGGAGTCAGGAATAATCTCTAACAATAGATAGGACGGTGGGAAATATGGCTATATAACAAAGGTTGTGGCGCCGCCCTCTGCTACCTTTCCTCCTGCTCCTTATCCAGCACCATCCGCATCTTCCCCCCTCCTCCTCCTCTCCCATCTTCAGCAAAATCAAAACAAACACACAGAAGCTGGTACTCGGAGATCGCTGTCATGCATTCCAAGGCTACTATCACGGCCCTGGCCCTGGCCGGGTTCATCACCCCCTCTATGACTGCGCCTGCCGGCAACGAGGCTCGCCAGGTGCCTGTCGGTAAGTTTTCATGATACCTCGACTCACGCGCTGAACAACAAGCTGACTTGGACAGACGCTGGAAGCCTGGGAAACACAGTTGATGGCGTAGCTGGCTCTGCAACAGGCCTCGTCGACGGCCTCACTGGCGGGGCGACCAGCGGACTCACACAGGGCATCACTGGCCCCGGTGGTGTCGTTGACGGCACCACTGACGCTGTCGACGCACTCCTTGGCAGCCTCGGCGGTCTGACCGGCGGCGCTGGCGCCGTCGCCGACATCCCCAAGGACGTCGTCGGCTCCGTCACGGGTGTTGCCAGCGGGCTCACCAAGGATCTCCCCATCCCCGTGTCCGTGACGCCTGGCGCGGCCGTTGCCAAGGGTGCCCGTCGTCGCCACAACCGCCGTCAGCTCAGCGACGTGACCGATGCCGTCAAGGGCGCTGCTGACGGCGCCAAGGATGCCGCTGAAGACGCCACGAGCGCTGCCGGCGACAAGGCCGACAAGGCCACCAGCACAGCCAGCAGCGTCGCAGACGAGGCCACTGGTGTTCTTGGCTCTGCCCTGAGCCAGGTCACCGAGGCTCTTGACCTTGAGGGTCTTCTCGGTGGCGCCACCGGTGCCGCGTCCGGTGCCTCCGGTGCCGCAGGCGGGCTTGTCGACGCGGCTACTGGTATCATAGGTGGAATCACCGACGCTGCGACCGACATCATCGGTAACATCATTCCTATCCGTAACGTGGACGCCGAGTCGGTCGACGACCAGACTGTCGCTTCCGTCATCCACATGCTGAAGAGTCTCCAAGAGGAGAACAAGCTTCAGGCCCGTGAGGAGGATCCCATCAGCGACCTTATCCAGCAGCTTCTCGGTAGTCTCACCGGTGGCGATAAGAAGAAGGGTGACGCTCCCGGCGGGCTTTCTGACGGCGTCGGTGGCATTGTTGGCGGCATCCCTGACGCTGTCAAGGGCAGCATTGGCAAAATCATTCCCATCCGCAACGTGGACACCGAGTCTGTCGACGACGAGACTGTCGTTTCTGTTATCAACATGCTTAAGAGCCTCCAAGAGGAGAACAAGCTTCAAGCTCGTGAGGAGGATCCTATCAGCGACCTCATCCAGCAGCTTCTCGGTAGTCTCACCGGCGGCGATAAGAAGAAGGGTGGCCTCCTTGGCGGCGCTCTCATTCCTGGTATCCTGAATGTCAAGCCCGAGGAGCAGATGAGCAAGGTTCAGGCCCGTGAGGAGGATCCCATCAGCGACCTCATCCAGCAGCTCCTCGGCAGCCTTACCGGCGGCGATAAGAAGAAGGGTGGCCTCCTCGGTGGTGCCCTCATCCCCGGCATCCTCAACGTCAAGCCTGAGGAGGCCAACATTCAGGCTCGTGAAGAGGATCCTATCAGCGACCTCATCCAGCAGCTTCTCGGTAGTCTCACCGGCGGCGATAAGAAGAAGGGTGGCCTCCTTGGCGGCGCTCTCATTCCTGGTATCCTGAATGTCAAGCCCGAGGAGCAGATGAGCAAAGTTCAGGCCCGTGAGGAGGATCCCATCAGCGACCTCATCCAGCAGCTCCTCGGCAGCCTTACCGGCGGCGATAAGAAGAAGGGTGGCCTCCTTGGTGGCGCTCTCATTCCTGGCATCCTGAACGTCAAGCCCGAGGAGCAGATGAGCAAGGTCCAGGCCCGTGAGGAGGATCCCATCAGCGACCTCATCCAGCAGCTTCTTGGTAGCCTTACCGGCGGCGGCGGCGGCGAGAAGAAGGGCGGTCTTCTCGGCGGTGCTCTTATCCCCGGCATTCTCAACGTCAAGCCCGAGGAGCAGATGAACAAGGTTCAGGCCCGTGAGGAAGATCCTATTGCCGATCTCATCAAGCAAATCCTCGGCCTTGTCGGCGGTGACAAGAAGAAGGGTGGCCTCCTTGGTGGCGCTCTCATTCCTGGCATCCTGAACGTCAAGCCCGAGGAGCAGATGAGCAAGGTCCAGGCCCGTGAGGAGGATCCCATCAGCGACCTCATCCAGCAGCTCCTCGGCAGCCTTGGCGGCGGCGACGGCGAGAAGAAGGGCGGCCTCCTTGGCGGAGCTCTCATTCCTGGCATTTTGAACGTCAAGCCCGAGGAGCAGATGAGCAAGGTCCAGGCCCGTGAGGAGGATCCCATCAGCGACCTCATCCAGCAGCTTCTTGGTAGCCTTACCGGCGGCGGCGGCGGCGAGAAGAAGGGCGGTCTTCTCGGCGGTGCTCTTATCCCCGGCATTCTCAACGTCAAGCCCGAGGAGGAGAACAAGACCCAGTAAAGGGTTTCATATTCTCTCACACAACCAAAAGCTTCCCACTCCTTAATTTCGAACACTGGCAAGCGGCCAGCTTCGCTTCTATCTACCGACCTTGAATGAGATTATGATTAGCTCTTCACAATAAATGTTTTTTGCCAGACCACCTTGACCCCTCGTGCATGATGTGAAAACGATAACTTGACGAACTTCCGCCACAGCCTTCATGCCAGCATTGATCCTACCCTCGCGTCATGGATGTGCCATCAGGGCGCAACATCTGTCTCCAACAAGGGCAACTTCGCCCGACAGGCCAGAATCAATTGATAAGGCTTGAGCGAAGTTAACATGCGTCATGCTGACTGGCGGCCATCGAAGTCGCATCACAAGCACACATGGCACCACACCAGCTGTTTTGAACTGTAAATCCATTCACCCTACTTAGGCCAGCTATGCCAGCCGCACGGAAAGTGCCCATCTCTCTACCACGTTCACTCACTCCGACCTTCTCTCACCACCAGCAGCCACGGACCTTGTAGCGAATGCATAGCAGAACCGACGCTCTCTATCCCTGACCACTCATTTTTCTACCTCGGCCCATTTGCCTGTTCCAACTCCTGCAGTGTGATATATGTGTTTGCGTTTGCATGTCTGTGCTCTGCTGTTGTCTGATATTATATAGTTTTTGTGAGAGACGTAGTGCTCGCCATAGGAGCGCTACAACTACGCCTCACGATGAGGGTGGAAATAATGCATTATGTACAGGCTCAGCCTGGTCAAAATGACAAGGCCCAGCCCGCATTGACCAGACCCGGCAAAGAACGAATCAGCCGAGCCCGGTGGACAAAGAAGATCCGAAACAAAATCATCTATCGGCGCGCGGAACCGTAGCGCGCGCTCACTTTGATGAGAGGCATCCTTCTCCAACAGCGCTCGTCATGGCGAGGCCGACAGGTGTCATCGTGCCGCTCGCGGGAGCAGGCGTGGTGCTCCTCGTCGGTGGCGCGGAGCGGTTGTGCTGCATGTGGGCCTTGACAAGGTGGCCGGCCGCGAGAGCGCTGCAAAGGGACAGCTCGCCGGCCAGGGTGGCCGCGGCAACGATGCGAGCGAGGCGGCGGGCATTTTCACCGGGAGTCGTAGGGTGGGGTCCGCGAACGCCGAGCATGTCAAGCATGGCGGATTGGGGCTCGAGGATGGTGCCGCCACCGAGGGTGCCGACTTCGATGGACGGCATGGAGACGGAGATTTGGAGAGAGCCGCGGAGGCTGGACGACGTTAGCAATATTCAAATGAAGGAAGCGTGATGACTTACTTTTGCATGATGGTGATGCAGTTGGCGCTCTCGACAACCTGTGCGGGGTCCTGTCCTGTGGCGAGGAAAATAGCGGCGACAATGTTGGCGGCGTGAGCGTTGAAACCTCCCACAGAGGCGGCCATGGCAGATCCGATGAGGTTCTTCGAGATGTTGAGTTCAACCAGCGTGTCCACGTCAGACTTGAGAACATCGCGAACGACATCGCCGGGGATAATAGCCTCGGCCACAACGCTCTTGCCACGGCCATCAATCCAGTTAATGGCGGCAGGCTTCTTGTCAATGCAGAAGTTACCGGAGACGGATACAATATTCATGTCCTCGAAGCCCTCGCTCATCATGACATCGAGCGCGTGCTCGACACCCTTTGAGATCATGTTCATGCCCATGGCATCACCGGTGGTGGTCTTGAAGCGGATGTACAGCTTGGTACCGGCAATAGCTGTCTTCATGGACTGCAGGCGGGCAAAGTTACTCGTCGAGTTGAAAGCCTTCTTCATCACGCCGTGGCCGGCTTCGGAGTCGAGCCAGATCTTGGCGGCTCCGGCACGTTCGAGCGTCTCGAAACTGACGCAGGGTCCACGGGTCATGCCGTCACCAGTCAGAACAGTCACGGCACCGCCACCAGAGTTGATGGCCTTGCAGCCTCGGCTGGTACTGGCGACGAGAACACCCTCGGTGGTGGCCATGGGGATGAAGTAGCTGACACCATCGATAACAAGAGGGCCGGCAACGCCGACGGGAAGAGGCATGTATCCGATGACGTTCTCGCAGCAGGCGCCAAACACGCGCTCCCAGTTGTAGTGCTCGTAGGGGAGCTTGGAGCGCTCGAGGACGTTGGTGATGTCAGAGGTGGCCTTGGTCTGGGAGATGATGGAACGGCGAATCTTGACGGCTCTGGTAAAGTCCTTGAGGGTGCGCTCGAGAGCATAACCGGGAATCTTGCCGCGCATCGACATGGCGACAATCTCGTCGTCAGTCATCTCAGGGGCGCGCTTCTCGGCCAGCATCTTGTCCAGCTCGGGGAAGCTGCGCTTCTCGCCAGGGCTCGAGGGCTCGGAAGACTTGATTTGCCTCATGGCCAGCGCGTCAGACTCGTCATCGGTGGAAGCGGGGGTGATGGGCTGCGGCGCGGGCGTGGGAGGCGGCAGGTACTCGCCCAGAGGCAGAGTGGCGGAGCCAGTCTCATTGAACTTTTCGGCACGGGCAAGCTCCTTGCGATCGATGGGGTGATCAGACACGTTGGGGTCCTTGATGCCCCAGCGGGCAACGTTGAACAGGTAGCCGTTGAGGGCGACGCTCATGATGAGAGCGACCCACATCCACTTGGAGAGAATGGGGTCCTCGAGGCTCGTGAGCAGGCTGCCGACCATGCGTCCTCCGACACCGTATCTGTCGTAGCCGAGCTCGTCCGCCATACGGGGTAGACCGTAGTGAATCGAGGGGAACTCGAGTTCGTACTTGATCGTCGTGAGGACTGTGACCATAGTCGCCCGGCCGTTGGCCTTGGCAGACTCGAGAATGGCATCGAGGCCGTTGGAAGCGACCTTGAAAGGGTCGACGGGCGGCGAGGTCACAACGGCGCTGAGGCCACCGGTCCACGAGGAAAGGCTGGTGATGCTGCCGGCGTTCCTGAAGGGAATGGTGCAGATGTTGATGACGTTGATCAGCACGAAGCCAGTCACCATGAGGACCTTGAACTTGGGAACGTTGCTGCCCTTCATCTGCTTGCCGAACAGCGAGGTGTCCTTGGCGGCCTTGTCGTCACTGCCGGGCCAGTCGTTGCCGCTGGCAACATTCTCGGCCACGCGGCGGCTGACGCCGTCGTCCTCGAGAGCGCGGCGCATCTGCACGTGGCGCTTGATGCGGTTGATCTCGAGCTTGATGCTGAGAATGGCGGTGTAGAAAGAGAAGAGCAGGATGCAGTCGAAGAACAGGATCCATGCGGCGAGGAAGCAGAACTGCTGGAGGCCGCCCTGGACACCAGAGGCCGCGCCAAGGATGAGGACACCAATCTCGACAGCGTAGTCGCGAACAATCTCATAGCCATTCTCCTTGATGGCAGCCTGCACAGCGTACTGGATGACGTTGGACGACGAGACCTCCCAAGCCTTCTTCTTGGACTTCCTGTCGTCCTTGTCCTGGGGACGGCGGTGCTCAATGGCGTGGGACAGAACGGCCCGGGTCAGGACAATGTTCTTCTCAAAGCCAATCGTAACGACCAGGAAGGGCAGACCCTCGGACAGCAAGACCATGGAGATGGGCACACCGAGCTTGGTCGTCACGATGAGGCCGAAGAGGAAGGCGAAGACGGACGAGAAGAGAACATTGGTAAAGAGCCAAAAGTTGGAACCCATCCGGCGCATGGAGAGGAACAGCGAGACAAAGGTCAGATGCATGGACAGGTACCCAAGCACCATGATGACAATGTCGAGAGTCTCGGCGTTCTTGAGCAGGTCGAGGAACTCGGTCCAGCCGTTGGTGACCCAGCGGATGTAGCTGTTCCGGGTGTTGACCCGGGCCGCCTTCATGATCCACATCTTGGACTCGTGGCCGTGCTGCGTCTCGCGCGACTCATTGTTGGCATCGTCAGGGATCTCCTGGACGGAGGCGAGGAACTCGGGAGCTTGGTCGTAGGGCAGAGAGAAGGCCAGGGCACTGTCCTGAGAATAGGCGGTCAGGGAGTTGGATGTCTGAGGCAGCGGGGTGACGGAGAGGTTCTGCGGGAAGGGGACGGCGTGGGCCCTCGGCGCGGTGTTTGCACTCTCGGCCGAGTGCGATTCGGGGAAGACGAGCGTCAGGAGGGCGAGGTGCTCGACATCGCTGGCGGGCACGACGTCCTGGTCGACGTTCTGCCACTTCCAGTTGGTCTCGGGGCCAACCTGCAGACGACGGCTGCCTTCGGTCAAGGACGACCAGTCGGCCTTGCGCACCGAGGTGGTGGCATCGAAGAGGCTCTCCTGGAGGAGCCCCACGTACGAGGAGCTCGCCAGCACAGCAACGATGACAACGGTGTGGATGGGGTGGGAGCAGGCGAGGGAGGAGAAGAATTGCAGGATGGGCGTGGACTTTTTGCTGATCCAAGAGGGCGTGGCCGGTTGCGCCTGGGGCTGCTCGCCGCGGAAACGGCGAGGGAAGAGGACGGACGAGATCATGACGACGGTATCGGAGAGGTGGACTCGGAGGTTACGACGACATTGAGGGGATCTCGGAGATCGGGGGGTAGGTTCGGACTCGGATCGGCGGCGTCGGTGGAACCTGTGATTTTTCTTGTGAGCACTTGGCTTGTGACGATGCCTCGCCCGTTCGTGGTTATGATTGTGGGAAACGAATTTCTTGGGGGATGACACGCCATAAAAGAGGAGAGAGGACGAGAGACACGTGCAAGACACGCTGAGGGTCAAGAGGGGTACGACGGGCAAATTTCCGAGACAAAAAGAATCCTCAAGGACAGTGAACGTACGTCGACTTCGCCTTCACAAGTCAGCTAGACCCAATGGTGTCGCTACTCCGTACTCCGGTTTGTGTGCGTGTTGCCGTTCGATCAACTATGCGGCTCGGTATTGGCCGTTCTACTCGTTCGTCGGATGGGCGAAGAGGCGGTGGATAGTCGACAGTGGGACAAGACGGCCGACGGAGTGGTTCAGCGCAATGTTGAAAGCGCAATTGGAGCCGAACGAGCGGTGATGGCTCGTAGCAACAGCGAGACGTGTTGAAGAGGGACTCGAGGAGAAGGAGGAGAGAGAGGATCGCAAGGTCGACCGAGCGGGCGGGGAGGGAATGAAAGGCAAACGGGGAACAGACCTAAGCAAGGGGAGATACAGACAAGGCGAAGTAAGTTAGGTAGTCCCTGAAGGGGGTTTGGTGGTTTGATAGTGGCCTCGACGGACTGGGGGGGGGCAGAAGAGCCAAGGGGGAGCCACCAAAAGGTTGCTGCTCCTAGGCTGGTGGATGCAACTTCATGGGAGAAAAAACTAGGAGTGGGAGATTGTGGTGCCTGGCGGTTTTCGGTACGTATCGCCGAAGCTTGTTACGGTGGGATGCTCCACAGCTAAAATGAGCCTGACGGGGATCCTTGATTGGCTCAAGTCTTTGCTTACGGTGGGCAAGTCGACGCTGTGTGGCTGACGGTACGCGTTATCTTATCGAGGCGCAGGTTGTCGTCATGTCATTTTCCTCATTCGGTGTGCCAGCAGCCATTGTGCATTGGCGATCAGGGCTGCTCTCCACTGCGAATGATTTCTTTCAGGGGCTGAGTGGACGGGCGTCCACCACGTCAGGTACTACCTGCACTCAAAAACGCAGCTGACGAGAGCACAACGCCTGCCAACGCCTGCCAACGGCTTTCTGTGGCGCGGAGACAATGTGTCCTGCGAGGCTCAGCAACATTGTTCTGCGCAAAGGACGATGCGTACCCAAAGCTGCACACCGAAGATCGGAGAGCACCTGCCCTCACTCAAAGACTCATTCCCCGAAGGATTGACGATATGATTGTGACGGACTGGCGGGACCTTGGAACTGTCCGTGCCGTTCGTCGATCACACCGCCATGAGAGACTTGCGGTGGAGCCCAACCGGTTCGACCCTCAATATCGCTTCACTGCAGTACATGCATGGTACACCCATCCCCTTTGTCAGCCCCAGTGTTAACCGTCTGCACGATCCGTTTAGCTTTTTATCTCATCTCGACCTTATTGCCTCACGTTTGGGCAACATTCATATGTCACAAAGTACGATACCTCAGTGACAGCCTTAGTGAGATGCAATGGGTGTACAAGCTGTGAGATCTGCAAACCCCCTGGCGATCCATGCCAGGCCATGTCGCTCGAGTTCCACAACAGGCGACATGATATAGTACGTTGGATGCAGTGCTGGCGTACCACGTAATGTAGGGTCGAGTCAAGTCAAGCGAGTCGGCAGCTGTAACGATTTGTTACCAGATGATCGTGTTGCGATTAGCTAAGCATCACTTCTTACTTCCCCAGATGTTCTCGAGCGACGTGCCCGAGAACCGTAGGCAGAGAATCCACAAACCTCGCCAACCTCGTGTCTTTCGGCCATATGGCATGCCGACTCCATTTCCCTCCTCTGGGGGATACACGGCCTTACGCACCCCGCACCCGCCGAACTTCTGCCCCCTTCACGCTCACGACGCGGACGCCGCCCGCCTCGAGCTCGTCCTTGCATGCCTCCCACTTGTCGGGTTCGACGCAGCGCGTGCCCTCCTCGACAACGCACGTCCGAAAACCCTCGCGCGCGGCGTCCACGGCCGTGCACTTGACGCAGTAGTCTCCCGCCAGCCCGACGACGAAGACGTCCGTCACGCCCTGCCCCCGCAGCGTCTCGGCGAGGCCGCTGTCAACGACGCCGTAGGGGTCGCGGAAGGCGCTGTACATTTCGATGTCGCGCACGTGGCCCTTTTCAATGGTCGCCGTCAGGCGGTGGGCTTCGAGCTCGGGGACGAGGCTGGCGCCGGACGTGTTCTGGACGCAGTGAACGGGCCACAGGCGAGAGGCATATGATTCCGATGGGTTGGCGGGGTTCGTGATTGTCGTCGTCGAGGTGAAGGGCGAGGCACCTGCGTGATTCGAGGCAAAGGAGATGTGGCTGGCTGGGTGCCAGTCCTTGGTGGCAATTTTGGCGACAAAGGGCAAGCTGAGGAGGCTGTTGACGATGGGGGCAATGTCGCGGCCGTTGGCGACTGCAAGTGAGCCATGCTGTGGGGGGAGATGTCAGTGTTATCATGCCTGATGCTGATCATGCGCCATCCGTTGATGACCCGGTATGGCCCTTTGCGAATGGGTGACAGCACTGAGGTCATGGTCAGCTTACGGGTGGGCAGAAATCTTCCTGAAAGTCGACCACAATGAGGGCCGGTTGGAAGTTGTCGCCCATTGCGGTGATGATGGCCTGGCCCAGGGTCAAGGTGAGTGATGTTGATGAGAGGGAGATTGGCAACGAGTCTACATCATTGCCTGATGAGGCTCCCTCGCATTTGTCCAGATGCCTTCAAGTGGGGCAACGGCTTGTCGTTGGTCTTTCATCTGTCCGCGGCACCCTAATACTCGGCCTTCTTGGCTTGAACGGCGAAGGTCGGACTGAGAAGGAAAATCGGCAGGTGATGCTACTGTACATACCGTCTTACGGCTGACCGTCTGAAACTGAACTGATCATGACGACAACGTCCACTCCATCGACGCATCATCAACAGGTTGAGGGTGTGCCAGCTGAGAGAACGCATTGGGCTGTCACCATCTGGCAGTATACGCCCCACTTCCCCTGTCCCAATCGGGCACTCACTGCTCCCCTATGCCTTCCTTGAGGTCTCCATCGCGAATCCTGCAAACCGCAACCGCCGAAAGAGTTCTTTGATCTCTCTCCTCTTCAACCCCTCACCCGCTGATCATCATGCTTCCCCGCGGTCTCAAATCCGTCATACTCGTCGTCGTTTTGCTGCTCATCGCTCTCGGTGTCTATCTCAGTCCCTTGCAAGTTCACGTCCCCTACGATCTCCTCCCTTCCATCGCCATGGGTCCCATCACGCACCTCGTTCTGTTCCAGTTCAAGGAGGACGCGTCCTCTTCAGCCATCAGAGACGTAAGTGTATCGTCCTGTGCCTTTGCACTCAGCTTCTGACATGACAAGGCCACTGCGAGGATGCTGCAGCTGAAGGACAACTGCGTCCACCCCACCAGCGGCACTCCCTACATCGTGTCCGCCAAGGGAGGCAAGGATAACTCGCCTGAAGGTCTCCAAGGCGGCATCACCCACGCCTTTGTCGTTGAGTTTTCCAGCGCGTCTGATCGTGACTACTACGTCAAGGAGGATCCTGTGCACAAGGCTTTTGTCAAGAGCATTGAAGGGCTCGTCACCAAGGCCGTTGTTGTCGACTTTGCCGACGGCGTCTACTGAAGACGGGCCCTCGAGGAATGCAGTAATCATATCACACCAACCAACATCTGCTAGCACACACAGGCGAATCAACAAGAAGAAAACGTGTTCTCATTCCGCTCTCCAGGTACTTGGCCCTTACTCGCCAGCTAGCTTCTCGTCCCGTCCCTGATGCAACGTCGTCGTCACGCGGTCTGTCAAATGTTTATCCACGTTGGGCATCAGCAGCGCGCAGATGATGGCCACCCCTGAAAAGGCAATGTTTGTGAAGAACACGGTCCGGTACGCATCCGCATTGGCCTGCTTGTATGCCGCCGTCCCTACTGCCAACACATCTTGCGTCAAGCCAGCGACGCCCTCGAAAGACCCCGTCGTGAACCCAGCCAGAAAATCAGCCACGCTCGATGCCGGCAGACCAGCGGCTATCACGGCCGGCGGTACCTGCGCCGGGATCTCCTGCGCCAGCCGATTCGAAAGCACAACGTTGTACACAGACGCAGCAATGCTGCTGATGAGGAAGCGGATGCTGCCGGCGATGCCACTGGCGCTGCCGAGATGAGCCTGGTCGGGCGCGCACAGCGTCACGATCGTGATGGCGGTACCCTCGGTCCACCCGATGAAGAAGACGCCCAAGGATACGAGCACCGTCGCCCGCACTGGCGTGTCAGGCCCACAGCTTGCGATGGCGCCAAAGCACGCACCACCCAGAACAATATTGACGACGCACTGCCACTTGAGGTGACCGATCTTCTTGCCAATGAATCCGCCCACAATCTGTCCCATGACGATGAATAGCGACACGCACGAGGCCAGCCATGCTGAGTAGAAAGGTGAGTCGGCCGGGTCCGTGTACAACACGGCCACCATGGACGGCCATACAATGGCAAAGGCGTAGTAGACGCTCGCGCCCAGACCAGTCAGGATGGTCGACGACACCCACGGACCGTGGCGGAAGTAGTGCATCGGCACGAGCGGCTCCTTGAGCTTGACGAGCGACTCCCACAGCACAAAGGCCAGCAGTGCGACGAAGCCGACGACGATGGTCCCAATGACGTGGGCAGAGTCCCATGCGTACACGACGCCGCCCCAGTTGAGGCCCATCATGAAAATGAGCAAGCCGCCCGTGTAGAGGGCTGTACCGGCGTAATCAAAGTTCTTGATGTACGCCCACTTGGAGGCGTCGCCACCGTGCTTCATGCGGAAGGTGGGCGGGTGGTAGAAGAAGAACCAGCACAAGAAGCTTGCGAGGTTGATACCCGTGTTGAGATAGTATAGGCCGCGCCAGCCGACGTTGGGGTGATGCCGGATGAAAGCCTGTGCGAGGAGGGGCGCGATGCCCGAGCCGGGGATGCAGAACAGGTAGCAGAAGGCATTGCCGGCGAGGCGGTACTTCATCGGCACGAGCTCGCCCATAACGTAGAAGTAGGACAGTTGCGTGGCTGCGGCGACGCCGATGATGGTCATGCCGCCGATGAGCGTGGGCACGTCGGGGGCCACGGCGCACACAATGCTGCCGATGACGCCGAGGGCCGCGCCGCCGACGAACATGTACCGGCGACCGAAAATGTCGGACACGCGCCCAATGATGGTCAGGGTCACAGCACTGACGAGGGTGTACACGAGGGCGACCCAGACGATGTTCGGGTCGGGTCCAATGTCGGCGTTGATGACGCCGAGAATGGGCGCGGCGTATCCAAATCCAGCGACGCCGGCCATGAGACCGAGGCCGATGCCCATCATGGAGCCAATGAAGAAGCGGCTGCGGAAGTAGCCCGGCGGCAGGGCATCCTCTTCCATCTCGAAATTGGCGCTGGCCGAGTCGACATTGTCAACACGCGTCTCCTGGGCCTTTTCCATGTCGAGCGAGCCATGCCTTTCGTGACTCTCCTCCATAGTTCAAGTGGCCTCTGCTGGCCGTGGCCTCGGCTTTGATGTTCAGTCTGTGATCTGTTCGGAGGAAGTCTTGCAGTAGTGAGGCTGTGATGCAATACATCGAAAGCCGTCAAGAGCGCCGATCCTTCGACCGGCGGATCGCCGACATTTATAGGGGTCGTGCCAGTCATCCCCGAATGTCTGTCCGCCAACCCGCTGCCGTGGACAAAATGGCACGTGCAGGCAGAGAGGCACACGTCCATGCGGTCCGGGGCTCTGGTCTTTCAGCACCCATTGGTCTGGGCCAAGGGAAGTTTGCTGCTGTTCTGGGAGGTTGAATCATTAGTTAGCCATGGGAGCTGGCACGGTAGTTGACGGCAGTCCTTTTCCGGCCGGTCGCTGGAGCGGGTGCACTCAAAAGGGGGCCGGCTAGTCGCCCGCAATTTGGGCTAGGGAGCCTCATCAGCATGGCCTGAAGCAAGGTTGAGCATTGCCGATCAAACCTTCAGGTCAAGCTGGATTCGCTTGCCCCTGGACATGGTGAGCCGAACCCATGTTTGTCGGGCGCGAACCGGGCATGGACTTGGCGATCGAGACAGACAGACACCTCCTCTTGCCGCTCTTCGACATCATTTTGCGACTGAATGCACATAGTTGGTGTTTTGGCATTGGGTCATATTTCGGTTCACCAGAGAAGTGCCTGACCCCACGGCATACCTGTCGGAGTGACAGGCATGTCAACATGATGACCGTCAAGATGTCATGGAAACAAGCGTCGTTATTCGATGCAAGGACGACAGCGGCTTGTGTTTGAATTGCGAGCGGGTTTCCTCCACCTGGAAAAGGCAACCCGCAGCCGTTCGGCCGGGCGACGGACCTAGGGCAACTAGAGAAGAGCAATTGAACGGCGGTGTCATGTCTCTTCGTGTGGTCCGATTTGGCAATTTCCCTGACAGTCCCTCAACAAGGTCATTGCGCCCTTGGTAGAGATACCTCTTTCATTGTCGAGGCAGCAAGGAGCTGTCCCATCGAAGAAAGAGAGGGGAATGGTACTCGATGGAGATTCATCAAGGCAACTTTCGAAGCCAAGTTCGGCGACATCTACCCATAGGACCAGAACATGCCCAGGCCGCACACTTTGAGGGTGCTTTACCGGGATTATTAGTGTAGCGGCTGGACCACCCAAGTTGGTCGTATCCACAGCAGACCGTCCGCTTCAGGTATCGCGACTGGGGCTCAAAGCACCCACACCCACATGATTACGCGCCGGGGATAATGCCTGCAATCTGGCACTCGTTCAGCAACAGGCGAGATGGCAGAGTGGTCTAATGCGATAGACTAGAAATCTATTCACTTCGGTGGCGCAGGTTCAAATCCTGCTCTCGTCGTTTCCTTTTGCTTCGTCTCAGTCCTTCTTTTGCCAACAACTGGGAATAATCTTGTGGTTGTCTGTCTAGTCAATCATCCGTATCGACAGAGGAAAGAAAGACTTTCTTAGATGAGATTCCTAAGGTATGGGTTGCCTTGACGCGCAGCCAATCTCACAATGCGGCATCAAGTCGCCTCGTCAATCGTTCGTGTCCCGTGCTTGGCATGCCGGCATTTCGCCCGATGGCCATTTGATCATCGTACTGATCGTACTCATCAAGAATACCAGGCAGAAGTCCTAACATGATGGTAGCATTGCGTCGAGTTCCCCGCCCACCCGGAGCAGCCCCGGAAGCTCCTCCGGCGGCCGTCTGGTCCCCGCGAACGCACCCCGCGCACCTTGGGACGGAAAACGCGGGGGTACATCGATGGCTCATATAAGATCTGGGGAAACGACATTGTGGGATTCGTGTTGAAGGCCAAGCTCACTTCGCCTGCCTTGCTACTGCACAGCATGAAGCTCACATCCACACTCGGGGCGTGCCTCGCAGCGCTTTTCGCTGATGCCGTCACTGCGATCTGGAACCCAGTCATCCCCGGATGGAACCCTGATGCGTCCATCTTGCGGGTCAAAGATGACTACTACATCGCGACGTCGAGCTTCGAGTACTATCCCGGCATCCCCATCTACCACAGTAAGCGCCCCTCGATCATCCTGAGAGCGTACATTGACCGCATGACCAGGTAAGGATCTGGCAAACTGGACCCTCAAGAGCCATGCCTTTACCCGCCCGGAGCAGCTGCCGCTCTACGGCACCCCGACCTCCGCCGGTAAGACCCGCGGCTCCCCTTCTTGCTCCCCTCCTTCACTTGGCCCGCCATACCCGGCCGACGCGGACAGCAAATGCCAGAGACTGACGAGCACGCCAAGGCGCCTGGGCACCGAGCCTCTCCTACTTCAAGGGCAAGTTCTGGATCGCCTCGATGACGCGCTGGACCTACGACCCCGTCGCCCGCGTCTGGCCCCGCGTCTTCTTCGCCTCGTCCGCCGACCTCATCACCTGGTCCGACCCCGTCTGGGCCGACCCCTGGGGCATCGACCCGGAGCTCTTCCACGACCCCGTCTCCGGCAAGACGTACCTCAACCTCATGGCGCCCAACAACAACGCCGACCGCCTGTGGGGCCTCGCCGGCTGCGAGGTCTCCGTGTCGTCCGGCCGCTGCGTCGGCCCCTATGCGAGCCTCTGGAACGGCACGCTGCCGCACGTCGCGAGCGCGCGGCCCGAGGGTCCCAAGACGGTGTACCGGGACGGCTACTACTACCTCATCGCCGCTGAAGGTGAGAAGGGCGCATGCTCGGTTTCGAAGACTGAGAGCATCGGGTGCTGACAGTCGCAGGCGGGACGGATGAGCTTCACCGCGTGACGGTCGCCCGGAGCACGAGCCCCCAGGGCCCATTTGAAGCGGGACCGGGCAACCCGCTGCTGTACAACGGGCAGTGGGGGTTCAAGAACCTGACCGTGCAGTCGACAGGCCACGCGACGCTCGTCGAGGCGGCGGACGGCACGTGGTACGCCTCGTTTCTCGCGCGGCGGAACATCAATGGCAGTTCGCCACTAGGTCAGCCCCCCCCCCCCCCTTTTGCACAACGGTGCGTAGATCGTCGGACTCCTTCTGAACTGACGCCTCGTCATAGGCCGCGAGGGCTTCCTCGTCGAAGCCGAGTGGGTCGACGGATGGCCGGTCCTCAACGGCGGCCGTCCCGTCCTCCTCAGCGAGCAGGTGGGCGCCGAGGCTGCCGGCGCCCGACCGGTCCCCGAACCGTGGGTCGACGACTTTTCGGGCCCCGAGCTCGACAAGAGCTGGTACCAGCTGCGGACGCCATATACGCAGAATTATAAGGTCTTCAACGGCCGCCTGGCGCTGCGGCCCAACGTCTTTGGGCTCAGCGACCGCGACACCCCGGCCGCCCTCCTGAGGAAGCAGACGTCGCTGAACATGACCTTCTCGGCCGAGCTGCTGGGCTTCAAGGGATCGTTGGGCCCCCGGAACAGGATCGGCATCTCGTCGTATCTGTCCGAGTTTCAGCACCAGGACATTGGCCTCCGGGGCTGTGTCAATGGGACGGGCCTGTGTCTGTATGTCGGGCTGCGGAGGAACCTGACGACAGAGGTACGGGCAGACGAAAAGATGGTATCAAAGTTTCTGCTAACCTCGGCATAGTACTGGCAAACGCCGCTCAACGAATCCAGCGCTGGGCTCTCTTCGGGCCTCACGCTGCATATCCGCGCCACGCCGCTGAAGTATGAGCTGGGCTACAGCCTCAAAGGGCAGAAGAGGCCTACGTACGTCAAGGAGATTGAGTCCAGGTGGCAGGCTTTTGCGCCGGCGGGCTGGTTCGTCTTTAGCGGCAACTCGTTTGGGCTGTTTGCCACGGGCGAGGGCGAGCCGTGGCCATACAATGCTCCGGATGTTGGGTTCACCAGAGTCACGGAGACGTATTTTGAGGAGGACATCCCAGACTACGATAGATGGTAGAGGATGTCGGGTATGGCTCGGGACTGCAAAGTGAGACGCGATTCATCGCCAGAAGCTTCTCTGGTTACAATGAACTGCACTTGGACGAAACAGCTGTTCCGGGCTGACAGGTCGAGCCCTGTCCATCTGAAGCCACATCTCATTCTGCGCCAGTACCACGGACGGAACGGTCATTGCCAAAGAACGGCAGTGCCCCAGCAATATGTGCAAAATAATTTTCCAGACACCAGAACACCAGAACACCATGAGTAATCCAGGTTGAGGGAGCTGTCTGTGTACACCCGGGCGACCACAACCGACTCACATGCTGCCCGATAGTAGGCTATGAGTAGCTGATCTTCATCATAGTCATTGCTCTCGGGCCTCCCTGAATGTTTAAGTACCCAAGTACTCCAGACAGACATGCATCAAGTTTATCTGCACAAAGAACCAAGGAACAATTCCGACGCTTACACGATACGAACCCAACAGCAACGCACATCTGAAGCAGTCTGCCCCTCTCCATGTGCAACCCGACCGACGTAGTCTACCTCTGCCACGGCGGCACTTTTTGCCAAGGCGGCCCGAACGGCACACGCGCCGTGACGGCCGTCAAGCCGTGGATGGACAGGGGCGCCATCCGGCGGCCACGGCAGCCGTTCCAGCTCTGCGAGTACACGAAGGCGCAGAGCGGTCGGTACCACAACTTTGCGTCGGAGGAGCTCGGCATCGACGGGTTCCAGCCCACGCGGCTCCTCAGCCCCATCATGGCGCGCATCAACCAGGGCTGCCGGAAAGCAGAGGCGGTGCAGGTGGTGGCCAAGGACGGGTGGGAGTGGACGGCGTAGGACGTGTTCTGCAACGACTTTCCGGCCAAGTGGTGTCAGGACTGCGTGCACCGGGGCATCGCCGGAATGTTCTGGGGGCACATGGACGGAAGGGACTCGGGCCGGTGGTGGTCGTGGCAGCAGTGCCATGCGTACTTTGCGGCGAACATGTCACGGGAGATGATGGCCTGGGAGGCGAGCATCGTGAAGGACACGTACGACAGCGTGTCGGAGCTCGACCGGTGGACTGCGGAGATGCAGCGCGTCAACCCTGGGGTGTTTGACGACTTGGAGCGGTGGAGGAAGGAGGCTCAGGAGAACGATCCGGCCATGTTCGAGGACTTGGACGAGGTGGATGAGCAGGACGGTCTTGGTGGACAGTAGCAACAGCGCACGTGTTGTATTTCCTTTGTCGACGTTTGGGGGCCCCATTGAGATGAACAGCATGAAGGCGTAAGGAAAAGAGAAAAAAAGAGAAGAGATACCAAGGGAAAAAGACGAAAGAAAAATACAAAAATACGGATTTATCCGAATCAAAACGCATCTCTGCTAACAACGTGATTGTACTCGCCATGGGAGCATCAAATCTCGGTGAACCCGGTGACCTCGGTGTCTCGGTGTCTCGGCGCTCGCGCTCGGTGTAGCAGCACAATGCATGAACCATGTGAAGATCTAGACTTCGCCCCAACATTCTCGCCGACCAACCCCCCCTGACCCTATCATCTCATCACCCCACGTCACATCGTGGCATCCCATAGACGTTGCGACCATCTCCACACAGCCAGAGTCTATCGTCGAATCGCGACATTGCACAGCAAACAGGAGATAGAAAACCGCACACCAATAACGCAAACGACTGTGTCACCACCACCTTCCTTTGCCCTGCCCCCAATTCCAGCCATCATTCGCTACATCGAGTTGTCAAGGGGTCTGTCAGCACTAGGTTCAGGCGGCATTCTGTTCTCGTACGACGTCACCGCCCGTCCCGTCGACTGCTCGTTCGCACAATGGCCGAAGAGCTCGACGTGCTCATCCTCGGCGCCGGCCTCTCAGGTATCAACGCGGCGTACCGCGTGCGCACGGAGCTGCCGAATGCGTCCCTCGCGGTGCTCGAAGGCCGCGACATTCTCGGCGGCACGTGGTCCTTCTGGAAGTACCCCGGGTTCCGCTGCGATGCCGCCATGACCAACTTTGGCTTCAACTGGCACCCGTGGACGCACGAGCGCAAGATCATCGAGGGCGAGCGCATCATCGAGTACGTCGAGGACGCCGTGCGCACCCACGGCCTCGACAAGCACATTTCGCTTCGGCCACCGCATCCTCTCCGCCGACTGGGACTCGGCGACGGCGCGCTGGACCGTCGAGGTCGACCACGGCGGTCAGCGAAAGCGCTTCCGCGCCGCCTTCATGCTGCTCTGCACCGGCTACTACTCGTACGACCGCGCCCTCCAGGCCGCCATCCCGGGCCTCGACGACTTTGCCGGCACCGTCGCCCACCCGCAGTGGTGGCCCCAGGACCTCGACTACGCCGGCAAGAACGTCGTCATCGTCGGCTCCGGCGCCACCACCTGGACCCTGTTCCCGACCATGGCCGAGACGGCGGCGTCCGTCACCGTCCTCCAGCGCAGCCCGTCGTACGTCTTTGCGCTGCCGAGCGCGAGCCCCTTCGACGCCTTGCTGCGCCGCCTGTTGCCGCTCTGGCTCGCCCACCGCCTCGCCGCCGCCAAGGACCTCCTCCTCGAGGTCCTCTTCGTCGGCTTCCTCCTGACCTTCCCCTCGGCCGCCCGCAGCTTCCTCGCCAAGGAGGCCACGCGCCAGCTGCCGCCGGGCTACCCCGTCGACGTGCACTTCAACCCGTCCTACAAGCCCTGGGAGCAGCGCCTCTGCATCAGCCCCGACGGCGACGTCTTCCGCGCGCTGCACCGGCCCAACGCCGAGATTGTCACCGACCACATCGACGCCGTCGTCGCCGACGGCGTCCCGCACGCCCCACCGGCCCGCCACCTTGCCGGCCGACGTGCTCGTTGACGGCCAACGGGCCTGCAACATTGAAGCTGCTTCGGCGGCATGGCGTTGCGCGTCGACGGCGCCGACGTTTGACCTCGCCAATTGCTACGCCTGGGGCGGCTGCATCTCAAGGGCGTGCCCAACGCCGCCGCCGTCATGGGCTACGTCGCCGGCACCTGAACGCCCGGGGCCGACGCCGTCACGAGCATCGCCCTGGGGGGTCTACGGCCACATGCGCGCCCACCGGTACCGAGCGCGCCACCCCCGTCGGTCGACCCTCGACGCTGCCGAGCGCAAGGGCCGCGCCCAAGCTGCCCGTCATGGACATGAAGAGCAATTACTTCGCGTCGCCAGGAACAGGCTGCCCATGTCCATGGAGAGGGGGCCTTGGTATGCCAGGAAGAACATCGTCAAGGACAAGGCGGCCCTGTGGTTCGGTGACGTGACGACGGGGATCCGCTACGACGGGGGCAAGGTGAAGAGCGTCTAGGCTGTCTTTCTGGAGGAGGAGTGGACATAGAGTGGCAACCAACATTTTCATGACGGCGTCGCAGCCGTGTCAACCTGCGGGCTCGACTCTCTCGGCTGACGCTACGATGCCGAAAATTGCCCGTAACCTGCCGCGCGAATTTTCTCGTTCTACATCCGCCTCGAGCAGACCATCCTGCCCCCCCCCCCCCCTTCCGGAGCTCTCTCGGAGAAGAGGGGAGAAGCGCAGTGGCGAGTGAGCATAGGACCTAGAACCTTGCCGCGGCAACATCCGCGCGAGAAGGGATCCGCAGTGACACACTTCGCGCACCATGCGAGCAACGGCCCCTTTGGAGCTGGAAATTGTGCCTAGAGCAAAAGGGAAAGCGGGAAGGGCATGTCAAAATGTACAACAACCGCATCGTCGGGATCATCTAACTGCATCTGTCGGGCTAGCCTCGAAGCCGTTCCGAGTATCGGCACTGGAGCTCCACATCCTGCGAGCCTTGGCGATGCGGCTGAGCGATCTCGCAGGGGTAGTTGCCGTTCAACCTACGTTAGACGACATGTGCCTTATGTGGTCGCGGGCTATGCGAAGCTTATCGAATGGTTCCCAGTCACGGCATTGTAATTATAGCTTTGAAACGAAGATAGCGATGAATCTCTCATGTCGCATTACTACATACTACTTCTCATGGCGCACTCGAGCTGCCCATCCATCCTGGCATTACTGGGGATATCATATAAAAGTACGTGAACACCAGGCGGGCCTCGACCTCTCATGCAATCGTCTAGACAACAACCGTAAAACAGTGCGCAATTAAACCTTGGTCTCGACAACCTCCTCTTGCTCGTGGGCGAGCGTTGGGCTGAACGGTGCCGAGGAACTCGGTCTTCTGGAGCATGTTGAGCTTGTCCTCCTGGCTGTCCAGGTGCGGAAGCAGAAGCCAGAAGGCGATGCCACCGATGAACGAGATACCAGACACGGCAGCGTAGTTCCAGACGAGGTAGGGGTCGCCCGAGATGGGGGTGAAGGCCTGGCCGAGAGCGGCAGAGATGGCCGACATGAACAGGTTGACGGACATGACTAGAGACTTCATGTTCTCGGGAGCCTTGGCGAAGGCGTACTCGTACGAGGAGACGTTGGTGAAGATCTCAGCAATACCGACGAGAACGTAGGGAAGAGACTGGGCCCAGACGTTGATGGGCGCAACCTCGCCCTCCTCAGCGCACGTGTTGGCGTTCCAGCCGCAGGGGGACTTCTCGTAAATGAAGTACTGCATAACACAGGCGGCGACCATGGAGGCAGTGGCAAACTGGAAACCGACAGCCATACGCTTCAGGGGGGTGAAGGCAATGCCCATCTTGCGGAGACCGGGGTAGACGACCTTGTCCATGATGGGGACCATGATGATGATCGACAGGGGGTTCAGGTTCTGGATAACATCGTTGGGGGCGCCGTGGAGCTCCATGGTGCCGGCCTGGGTGGTGAGGTTACCGGTCATCTGGTTGTAGGCGAGGAAGAAGATGGGCAGGAAGAGGAAGACCTTGCAGGCCATCAGACCACGCTTCACCTCGTCGACCCAGGCGTCATCGTACGTCATCCAGCCGGGGCGCTCAGCAACGGGCACGTTGGAGGGCTTGGCAGCCTCCCAGTTGACGGAGAAAGCACCAGTAGAACGCTTCTTAGCAAAGCCGAACATCTGGAGGAACTTCTGGAGAACGGAGCCGGTAGGAGGAGTGAGGTGGTAGTGCTTCTTGTTGAGAGCAAGAACCAGGGGGCAGAGGAGGAACAGAACGGTGGGCAGGAAGAAGGCCAGCCAGAAGCTGTGGTACTTCTCGACGAAGACCATGCAGACCTGACCAACGGTGGCTCCAATGTTGATGGCGAAGTAGAACCACAAGAAGACACGCGAGTTGGTGATCGAGGGGTCGATGAGGACGCGCTCGCCGTTCTGAACCTCTACACGCATGCGGGTGTCGCGGTTCTGCTCAGCCAGCAGGGGAGAAATGTTGGCCTTGAAAAGACCGGTACCAGTGCAGAGCAGAAGGAGACCAATGATGAAGGCACCGAACCCGCCCTTGTTGCCGGACGTCAGGACACCGGGCGCGGCGGCAGCGACGAGAATGACGTGCGCAATGGTAGAGACGACGATGGCGATGTGAATGGTCTTGTAACGACCAAGCTTGGCATCGGCCAACCAGGCACTGCTCGTCGTTAGCATGCGCATTTCGGGAATAGAGAAAAGGGGTGACAACGTACCCAAATAGAGGCATCAGGTAGGCGAAGAACTGGTTGAACAGGTTGATACCCTGAGCAGCCTTGGGGCCCATGCCCAGGGCGCCAGGAATGATGCTGCCATTGGGGTCGGCAGGGGCGCCGGTGGTCGAACCGGGGGGGAGAGGACGGTTGACGAAGTTGGTGTACAGGACAGCAGATCCGTAGTACGAGAATCGCTCGCAGAGCTCGGCGAAAGCGATGGTGTACATGGACCACTGGATGCCACCGGAGACACGGCGGAGTGTGTGTAGGTCCTCTTCGGTGGGGTCATCCTCGTACTTGCCGAGGGGCTCCTCATCGTACGTGTTGTGACGGCACGAGTGATGTCGATGGAGCCCTTGGCGTTGTGAAGCTCCTGTTCAGTACCCTGAATGGTGGCCTGGGCACGTGGCCCTTGGCAATGGCCTCGTTGTCGAGGGCGCGGTTTGAGACATGATGAACTGTCCTTCGGTCTGGGGGGCAGGGTGAGAGGGTTGACGAGTTGCGCGAAGAAGCAGATGTGAGGGGGAGGGGGGAGGACGTCTTTAATAGAGGACTAGTAGCACGGGGAAGTCGGGCGTGGAGGGGAGGGGAGGCGAGTCGAAGCGAGTCAACGCTCGTTGGACCATACAGAGACCGTCAAGGGACTACCCCTAATCACAGGTCGAGGTGAGTGAGCCGCATGGTATCGATCCCGAGCTTGCCTAGACGGGCAGGTCAGAACCAGCCGCACGCGACTCTGGGGATAGAGAGTGGTCCTGGAATCCAAGAACCCCGTCTGTGCCCTGAAGCGGGCGTCTCCATGCTGGCCGGTGCGTTGGGACTGACAGGCGTGGCCAATCTCGCCACAACCAGGCCGTCTTCCGAAGGGTCGAGGTAGGAAATGATGAGCGCAGCGTACAATTCCGTGAATGGGCAGAATGGGCAGCATGGCACCATGCGACTTGTTCCACCTTCCGAAACACTGGCGACTAGCCAGACGGCCCAACACGAGCGATATCACTCGAGTGGGTAACGATCTAGAAAGGTTATCCTTCGCCTCTGGCCAACTCCAGTCCATCCCAGGAGCAAGTGCCTAATCAGGAAGGTCCAGTGGCATGCGACTGGCGGGCGGGCCACCACCATCAGCTTGTATCCGTACAACGAGGGCGGCGGAAGGCCATCCTGGCATGCCACCCCGTTCGGTCGCGAGCGCTAGCCCCGGCAGCCAGCGATGGACGGCTGGAGGCGCAACCTTGCGAGGGGGCGTGCCGGCCGACGCGCAAGGGTGTGTCGAACGAGGCACTCTGATCGACCTTGGCACAGCGGGCGTCCCAGCGCATGTCCCGCCGACGGTAGTGCGCAGATAAGGAAGGCGGGCGTGTGTCCAATGAGACCTTCTGCTGCGAGTGCTGTGGCACGGCAATGCGGCAGGGTTATGCAGCCGCAAGCAGGTGTGGCCACCGAGACCAGAGCACGCCAGCGGCGGAAGAAGGCACAAAGACCTTCGAGAAGCGTCGCCTCTGTTGAGCTAGGCCAGCGGGCCACCCGAAGCGTCGCATCTCACAGGCCAAACGCTAAATCAGAGCCACCATCGCAAACATGCGCCACCAGCCGCGGTTTGTCCATGTCAAATCGGCGTACTTGACAGCTCCTCCGTCATCAGCTAGGTCCAGGCCAGAGATTGAGGTATCCAACATTAGAACCTTGCATCAACAATCTGCGGCACTTTGATCATAGTCGCGAGAGACAGTTCCAGAACTCTGGGCGATGGAGAAGGTCTGCAATGAGAGAATTTACGGTTGCTCAAAACAGCCCGTTTCTCTCTTCCTCGTGCTATTGCGGTGCAGTGACCAGGGGATGCTGGTTGCGCAACAATGGGTTGCGTGGGTCATTTGCCCCTTGGCTGCTGGACTCGGCCGACAAAAGAAATTTCTGTTAAGTAAGCCTGAGGGTCTGGTACGGAAGCTAGCGCCCATGAGTAAAGGATCGTCTCGTATATGGAACCGCGACGCTGGAGTAACACCGAAATTGGTAACAAGAGCTGGCAGGCTAGATTTTAGTGCGTTGTTCATGGGCAATTCTTGACACATTCGTTGTTCGACTCAGTCCAGATGCAGCCGCAACACCGAGAGCGAACGCTTCGCCTACACCTCGCCGGCCAAGGCCGAAGAATGACCCAGCAAACCTGCGATTGCGTGAGCAGCATCTTCGGCAGGCATACGCGGCAAGGTCGCGTGACGAGGTCGAGGTGCAACCGCCGAGCTCGAGGCTTGGAGAGGCGAAATCTGTGGCGTGTTTGTGTGGCCTAAGTTGGGTTGAATTGCTGTGGTGTGATGTCAATATCGGACTAGCCAGCGAATAAGCACGTAGTCGGCGTGAGACAAGATTGCACAGCAGTCGACAAACAGCCGTCTCCCCCCGTACCTTCCTTTCTTTCCCTGGCCAACTCAGGTTCAACGACCGAGGTGCTTCGTCTCATGATTGACGGGAGGATTTGGTGTGTGTCGAAGGGCTGACATGGTAGGATAAGCAAATCGGCGTCTCGATTGGCTTGAAGATATGCAGGATTGTCTAGTGGCGTCCGGGGAGGGGGTCAATTACAACGGTGCATGTGGTGGGCGCGAAGTGGTCCTAAACTTTCGTTGCGGTCGTATGAGCAGGTTTGTTGGTACGTAAACGGCCACGCCGCTGGAAGATGTGCCCCTGCAACGACAAGGGGGGTTGGTGATGGTTACATGGGCAACACAGCGCGCCGTCGCTGTCGGGTTGGAGCACCAGGAGCACCTTCCAACACCGACAGGCTGGGGTGCATGGGGCTAGAGTCTAGGGTCGTGGTTCCGCCGATAAGACGAGGGTCTTCAAACTGTCATGGACGTGCCGTTTCGTCCGCACATCGCTGGTATCATCAGTTCCCACGAAGGTGTGCTCGCTCCTTGCCTGCTTCGGATCCAAGGCATCGCTGTAGGATCGAAGGCAAATGTACCGTGAAAATTTCATGGCCTGACGTCGAAAGGCTGGGCAGTACAAGCAGTGCCGAGTCCCGACGGGTGGCTTGGCTCGGCGCTGCTAAAGTGCTTGGTATACGTTTGTTGCTGTGCTGGGCGATGCCGAGGCTTCAAAATCTGCACGGGTCAACGAGTCAAGGCGCCCAGCGCCCGCTGCTGCGAGGGAGGGTGGCCAGGCCAAGACCAAGGTTGGGCAAGGCGCTCGGAGAAAAGACGTCGCTGGCGCCCCGGGGTGGCTGCTGTAACGTTGACGCAGGTTAGCTCTGCTGTTCTGTGTAGCTTGCCCAGTCATTGACAAGCTTTTCCGCCTCATGGCGTCAACGCAGGACAAGACAACTTGTGTGCAGCGAACGGTGCGATCGGGCTTGTCCCGCCTTGGGAGTCCATTGACAGGGCAGAGGGTGGTGGGTTGTCATTGTGACGGCTTGCCTGTTTGCAACAATGCAGGGTCTACCACTCTCTGCTATAGAGTAGGTAAACAGGGTGGGGGTAATGGAGTCATGTGCGAAGGGACCGACTGAGTGATGCCTACTATCATGCTGGATTCCTCGAGTCCTGGAGCTCTTGGCTCTCGGTCGCCAACCGCGCGCTGGAAATGGACACCTGAAGGTGGAGAGGGGCCTCCGGCGACGTGGATGGAGCACCATGTAGGGCCACCGGTTCATCCACCCATCGCCAGCCAACAGACTGAGAGTGCAGCAACGCATTGAAGATAGCAGTTGGTAATGGCGCCTTGGTGGTTGGGCCAGACCTGATTAATGGAATGGGGTATGGGGATGGCGGACCAGCAAGAGATTGGGTGTTCATATCGCGGTAGAGATGCGATGGGGATGCATGTCAGCGCCGTCCTTTCCCTCTGCTCTGGGTCGCGCTGTGTTCGATACGAAGTCTGCCCGCCTGTGTTCCTTCCTAGGTTCCTTCCTGGGTTCCTTCCTGGGTTCCGTCCTGGTTTCCTTCCCAAATTCGACTATTGCTGCTTGCACGCCCACCTGACTCCTTCACGCCGATCTGTCCAGGGCATTGACGCGCTCTTGCTCCCTTCGTCTTGCCAGAAGATCGAGACACGACGACTATTCGCCAGTGCAAGAGCAGTCGCAGCCATGAGAGCAGGTTCTCATGTTCACTGCTGCCCGCATTTGAGTTTCTGTGACCAAGTGGCGCCATCCTTCGTTGTTGGCCCCTTCCTCTGAAGTCTGTGCCCCGACGCTGCTTCCTTCCATGGGCGGTTCATGCCAAGTCAATCTTGGGCTGTGCTTGCCCCCAGTCTTCTCCTTCTGGTGGGCCGTGACTGCCCACTGTCCTCGATGTGGTCCTGAGCAGAAGGAGGTGCGGCACCAGGAGCAGCAAGCGAGGAGCGACTGGCAGGGCCTACAAACCCGACAGTGACCGAGCCGCGGGGTCGCCCCAGCCAGCCAATGATCAGCCATCGCAGCCATTTCGGTCCACCCACCAAGATCGGCCCCGGGTGCCCCCTCTTCCCCTCTGGTATTGCCGTTCACCTTCAAAGCCAATGGCGGAGCGAATAACCGAGAAACAGCATATCAGTGCCTCAGATCAAAGTATCCTCCGCCGCCCGCAACACGCCGTCTCAAACGATCGAGACATCCCGATACAAACCCCAGACCCCGACCGACCGACCGACAATCACCGATTCTGGCCGCCCCGCCTGTGCCGCCCACCTAGCCCGCTCCCTTTCGTTTTGGGAGCTTCCTCTTCCATCGTAGCCTAAGAATCCGGGGTGGCATTCCTGTCCCCTGATCGCACGTCCATCCCGCTCCCGTTCCTCTCGCGACGCGCCACGGGAGACTCTGTGCCAGCTTCACGCCATAGTGTCGCCAAGCCCCAGCCGCATCCGGATCCTCAACCGCCCCTGCTCCTGCTTTTCCACCATGGCTCAAGGAAGCACGCCCCATAGGGTTGCCGTCCTCGACGACTATCAGGGCCTGTCAGTGTCTCATTTCGATGCTCTCGACAAGGCTGTCTTCGATGTGACGGTGTTCAGGGACACTCTGTTGCCATGGAACCACCCGGATACGCCCCAGCATGTGAAGGAGGCGCTTGTCCACCGGTTGGAGCCGTTCCATGTTATCTGTACACATGCCCCTCCACCCCCCCCCCCTTGAGACCGGCTTGCATATGCATCTGGCATCTCGCGTAGCTTCCTAAAGCGACTGCACATCTAGAACTGACATGGGTTGCAAGGCACCATGAGGGAGCGTACTCCCTTTCCCAAAGACCTCATCGCTCGTCTACCCAATCTCAAGCTGCTCCTGACCACTGGTCTGCGCAACAGCTCGCTCGATCTCGGCTTCTTCAAGGAACAGTCAATACCCGTTGCTGGCACGGCTGACAAGTCGACCGGCACGCAGGTTGGTACCAACAGCACCACTGAACACTGCGTCACCCTTGTGCTGGCGCTCGCCCGAGGCATCGCCCGCGATGATGCTGCCGTCAAGGCTGGCCTCTGGCAGACTGGCTTTGCCACGGGTCTTACGGGCAAGACCTTTGCCGTGGCCGGGCTCGGTCGTCTGGGCGTAGCGACTGCCAAAATCTTGCGCATGGCTTTCGGCATGAGGATCATCGCCTGGAGCCAAAACCTCACTCAGGAGATTGCCGACGAGAAGGCCAAGTCGGCAGGCTTCCCGGTCGAGGACCCCAGCGCGAAAAGACATTCAAGGTCGTCAGTCGCGAGGAGCTCTTCAGCGAAGCCGACG